TGACCTTGAAACTTGCCAATAGAACGGTTTAACAGTAACCGAGTGCCTGGCTAAATTTAAATACCCTATTTTCCATTTTTCCACCTAAATAAAACAAGGCTTAGTTTGTTTATTCATGTAGAATAACCTTGAGCCTTCATCCGGTAGAGTGAATCTACATTCAACTTTTCAATTCTACTCCACTCGGAGGTGTAAGGCAGTGCCAAAACAACTCATTCTCAATGAAACTTGGTTTGTCTGTTCTTGGAAAAAAAGAGTTTTGGATAATGTTTCATAATTTTGTTTTGTAATATTCCCTGAAATTTACAAATCTACTAATATCAAATTAGGTCCCGAAAGTTTCACGTATTTAAACAAACAATTTTGCCGCCTCAATTAGAGAGTCAGCATTTAATTGGTGCAAAGGATTTCGTCAGTGAATTTTATCGATTTCTTTAACTCGCGGTCACGTGTCACTTTGACAGGCTGGCTTCAATGGCAAACAGATAAAATCAGTTCACTTATTTTACTGAAAGCGTCTTTTTGAAGTGCAGTGTGTCCTTACCCTGAAAATTTGCGTCATTTAAAATATCTACATATCACACAAAACTCGCGTGACTTTTTTGCCACCTTTGTTGATTTGCCCCGCGTGAGTCTTCAGGAGATTTTAAACAAACGATGCATTGAAGAATGGTATAAATGTGACTTGAAAAAGTCCCCTTCGTGCTGTTACTACACCTCGAGTTCTGGAGTCTTGGCGACAAAAAAACCACGATGCACAAACTACCGTTACACTAACTTCATGAATGCATTCTTCACTCAAACAAAGACCGTCACAAAGGGTGGATTATATATGTGATTTTTGGCCAACTCGACACATCGTCTGTGATGATGCTTGGAAAGGTAGTCGTTAAGCTGTAATTGCAATTTGGTTAAATCAGAACTCCCTCTACAATCGATAGCTTCCTCAAAAATAACCAATCATTATTCCAATTGTTTTGTGCCAATGTAGGGCATTTATAAAATTCATATCGATCACCCTTGCCCTATTGGCTCACCCGCCTTTGAGTGGTTAACTTGTCTTAATTGCGGTCAAGGTCGCGAGGTGATTTATTTGTGAGCAGCTGACTCAACTGCTCGACCGCGACAGAAAAAGTACTCGCTCCACGGAGTCTTGTCTCGACATCTCCAATGCCTCGGAGAATTAGCCATTAACAAATTTTGGGTAAACTAACATTGGCATTTGGAGCCTTTAAATGTAGCAAAAATGATAATTTAGAAACCTACTTCCTTGCTTGTTGCAATCCTCTAAGGGCGTGTTGAAAAAGAAAGTTTAAAGGGTACCAGCAGGAAGTTTTCATTGTTCACTTGTTTAAATTTTGCAAGCAATGTAGGTGTACTTCCTGACCTTGCTCCTCCACTGACGTTCAATGGTCCACGAATTCAGATTTCCGGTTTCTTTTGTACACTTTTCACCACTGAAAAGCAGCAGCAACAACACTTACAGTATCAAGTGCCAAAATTGTGCGATTTAAAATCACACGGCGAATTAGTACGGTGTGTGTCCATGATTTGGGGCTTGTTATTGGTTTGCAGAATTGGCTGGTGCTGCGGACAACCCGACTCGCGAAATTACATTGCAGAATTGTTTGAAGATTCGTTCTTACCTTTAAAATGCCGTTTGCCAATGAATTTAAAGAATGTTAATTGAAAATACGCTTTGTATTCCTGGCGCATCTTATGATATTTTAAACTTTGCATTATTGATTGAATCCAACTTCGTTGACACGGAAATCAATACAAACCTGTCTGATCCACATGATAATACATTTTGAAAACCTGGTTTTTGGAACTGAAATAAAGCCATTTTAATCAGCCTATAATGGTTCATTTGCACAGAAATAACAACAAAAACGTTTCATCACTTTTGCATGTTTTGGGTGCGCAATTTTTCCAACGAAGGAGACGTAACCACAAATTGAGAAGTCGTTGCTAGTTGTCTAGCCTTTCGCGTTGCTGGGGTGTCAAAAGAATTGACCTATTGAAATTTGACCAGGACACGAGCTGTGGTGAATTGTGCAAATTCATGTCCGTCATTGCCTACGTATGTCATGGTTCAACAAACACCAGGCCATCTCCATCCCCTTTCTCCTCATAAATGCGCACTCATTTGGCCACATGCTTCTTAGATTGAATTCAAAGTGTTTCTGTGGATATATTTCAGCATAGAAGGTTTTAGCCAAGAGGGGTTAAATCTTTCAACCTGGATGTCGCCAGGATGAAATTGTTCCGCGAACTTAATAGGCATTTCATAGACCTCCTTCTACAATCTACAATACGTTCTCTACTTGAGTATTAGGAAGGCATTGCTGAACAGTGTGCAAAATCTAGATGGAATAAAATGCCGGTCTAGTGTTTTTCGCAGTCACAATTTCGTGCTGGGCAGCAACTTAAAATCCGGACATGTGTGATTCAGCGGTGGCACGAAGCACTACATTAGAATTCTGGTAAAAAGTCATATTTTCGATTGCATTAAATGTCAATTTATTTTTAAAAAAAACAAACGTCCAAGCCAGGTTGATTAAAATTCTCTAAATTTACAAATTTAGAACATACCAGTTTCAAATCAGGGCATAAATTATCGCTGGTTTCTGCACAACAGCGTACATGAGAAATCGACGTACTGAGGTATGGATGAGTTTGAGGAAGCCCTCTGGACGAACCGACTCAATCCAGACTTGTTTCAGGGATGCTGCAGGTTCGGTGTCACCTTGCACACGCCGTAATTTGACTCTCGCGAGGTGAATTAACTTCTTCACATACGTGGGAATGTGAAATCCAATTTTAATATTTGGCGCGTCAAGCTGCTTAGCGGCAATGTCGAAAACCCGGCTGTCTGGCAGGACGTTGGTGCGTCGAGGGAAGGAGGGAAACCCGAATTCGCTGGCTCTCGACACCAAGCCCATCGTATCCGAGTAGTGTGTGTAGTGTGGAAAGAGAAATTGGAGCATTTCATGGCGGCTTGGAGTTAGAAATTCCAAATTTTTTCACTCCTGTTGAGTTTGACATAATAGGACTTTTGAGGAAATTCCTAAAAACAAGCACTGCAATTTGTAAATTTGCATTTTTGCATTAAATAAATCAAGCTTAAATAAATTTGTCAACACCCAATTAACCGATTTTGACGAGTTTAAACTGGCATAAATATTATTGCTTGAAATTGAGAGATGTGAGTTAAACGCAACAAACGTTGGCGGTCGTCGCAGGCAACACCTCGGATTTGGGTGGCAAAAGAAGACCCTCGGCCAGGTCAAGCAGAAGCTGAGTAAATTCGTGATGCAGCGGCTGATAAGGCTGGCGTGGTTTCCAAGCCAGCAGCTGCAACAGTGTGTGCACGCTTCAATAAATAATGTCAGAGCTCGTCAATTTAGTGGTGCCTTAAGGATAGTGAGTCTTGCAAGGCAGCAAAACTACCGGCCATGACATACACCACCCATTCCCATGCTAAAGGAATAAGATTGTCCAAGCAAACTCGGGCTACGGCAGTTAGAGAAGAGGACCGAAGCTATAGCGTGGGGTTCCTTGACTCATGAGAGGTCATAAATTCAAAAATAATTGGCGAGAATATGACTTGAGGCACCATGAGACATGGGCAACGTACCCTGGTAAACGCGTATTCCTCGGGATTCGAAAAGCCCATCTGTTGAAGCTCCCTCACCCACTTGCCGAGGACAGTTCGAGGACCAAACAAATGACACCGAACCTGCTCAAATTCGGCAGAGTTAAAGAAGGCACCGGTGACAGCGCTGTGGTCTGGGAACCTGCGAGAGCGTTTTGGCACTCTCGCTAGCGTCTTACAATCCCTGAAGCGAGTCAACAGAGCAGACATTGCGTGGCCGGGGAAGTAGGGGAGGATGGCGATGGTGATAACTAAAGAAAGGGGAAGTGTGTCAGTTGTTCAAGTTGCGATCAGTGGTGGTGGACTCTAGAGCGCCAGGAAATAGCACAGGAGCCCTACATGGACTGGTGCCCTTGTGCGTGGTTCCGGAGACTCGCGTGCCGAATTGAAAAAGGCGCCGCGTTTCTTCATACGTCCAGGGCTGGAATTTTTCTCACAGCTGGTTGTGGCGCAGCTCGCACTCATTCGCTGTCCGCTGGCCGCCCCGCAATGACCGACCACGTGCCGCAGCCGTCGAGTCCACCGCCCGTACCGAGGCGTTGAATGGCCATCAGAAGGGACAGATCCTCCTCGGGGGTGCACTTCAGGGCTGACGACTGCTGCGAGCATCTCAGCTCTGCATACCGCTGCTTGCACGACTTGGTTGAACGCGTCTGCAGACGGCCGCTGACAACACCCCAATCCACCAAACCGAGAGCCTTACACTCGTGCTGAATTTCGTCATCAACAATCAATTTCAAGGCGTCGTCCTCCTCTGAACGCCAAGGTGCTCGCTAAAAAGATTACATTTGCAAGTAGAAAATGCACAAAAAATGCAACGCGGACTGAAGAATGGGGGCATAACTGACAGATGGGTGCTGGGGTTTAGGTACTTGTGCCAGGCCTTAAAACAGGCGATGCCAACTGCGAGAGCTCGTCCGCTATCCACAGACCGCGGCCTGTTGCTGGGCACAACCTGTCGAGCCAACAGAGTCGACAGAAAGCTGCAGACTTGACGCCTTTGAGCTGAAAAACAATTAGCCGAATCAAAACAGTTGGAAAGCGTTCAGCAGCAATTCGCATTCAGCACACATTGACGCTTACCACATGCACAGAAGTGTAGTTCCAGTCATTGTCTGTGAGGACGTTGTGGGCATTGTTGAGAAATGAAATCCACTCAACCATGGAAATATTGGGCCCCCTCGACTCTGTCTGCTTGGCACCAATTGCCAATTGGTGAAACTTGTTGCCCCAGTAGGACGTCTCATTAATGGTTGTGGAAAGCGAAGCAATGCAGTTCACAATCTGCTTAGGCAGAGCAGTTGGAAGCATGTACTTTGAGTGATCGAGCTGTTTCTCAGTAGATTACGATTCCTTAAATATCTGCTGGCGTTCGGAAAAACTCTTCGCTACGTGGGTTAGTGACTCCGTGAGTGTTTCAATTTGACTAGTCAGTTTCCTCTGTAGAGATAGTCGGTAACAATCAACTAAGGCAGGAAAAAGCTTTGTAGTTTCAAACTGTGTCACTAAAAGCAACAGAAACCCGTAAAAACCCGAAATGTAAACAAACCTCATGAGAAGCGGTACGGTAAAATGTTCGACAAATTGAATTTAATTTCGGAGTCGTATACGTCGAGTCAGCCAACTTTCCATAAACAAGAGGCTCAGTCTAGTCATAGTTACATAGTAAAAAAATTCATACTTCTTTGCGAAGTTCTGCTGTCTCTGAATCAATACAGGAGATGGCCTCCTTAATCCATATAAGCGAAACAGTGTGAATGCAGACACAAAACCACCCAACCAACCAATAGGTGAATGAGTTTAAGAAACAACCATTCACAAGTTAGCCTTTTAAATGAACCACCTTCTGACAAGGTCAAGAGTTGGTGAGAGCTCGTACATTTCAATCATTGTTATAGTTGTTATTATTCGTACTTTTTTTATGTCAGTTGCACAAAAAAAAATTAGTGTAAAGTAGGAGTGCAGACAGAT